CCAACCAACCAACCAACCAACCAACCAACGCTAGGAAAAGTTGAAAGCAGCAGGAAAAGAGGAAGAGCTGGTACAAGACAGATCATCTCAATAAAGGAAGTCATGGCCTTATGTTTTTAGCATCTGAGAAGTCACTCGTTCATAGGCTTGCCATCATCACCATCATCTTGGAACTGCAGATCTGGAAGAGACTCTGTGGATCATTGAGTCCAGCCCATCAAAGAGGAACAGTGGGGAATCGAACTCTCAGCCAGATACCTAAGCCACTGAGCTATCCAGCAGTTCAAGCTGGAAGTGACTTGATGGCACATTACAATGTCAACAACAGATCAAATCTACATCCATAGTACACCTCTGAGGGGAACAGCACCCCATGCCATGCTTCAGTTTTTATTCCAAGCCATACACAAAAGATATTTTCAAGAATGTCATTTCCATTATCACCTTGGCTTCTGCAATCAACGCTGCAGAAAGAGGAGACTCAGAGGAGCAACTTGAGATGTCTAAAAATAAGATGGTCCAACAAGGGGAGTAAATGCAGAGAGTGGAGGACAGATCCAGAGTCAGAAAAATGGCATTTGGCTGCATTCAGATCACCAGTGAGCCACTCCTACCAGTTGGGGGTGTAAAGGAGCCGTGGAACTCTTCTTATTAGATGCAGAAGGAATACAGGCAGGAACACTTATCTGGGGGAAGGGGGGGGGAAGCCATCCAAAGAGATTCTTCTGAGTCCCGTTGGAAAGAAATTCATCTTCCTCAGCCAGAGCATCTTTTCAGGAGCCAGCCAGCAAATTGTGCCCAGATCATATTAATACTAATAAAACCCTTAAGATGCTTTCCTCTGTTAATGTGTCAGCCTTTATTAAGGCTTGCCCTGAGAGCAGCTGGATTGTTCTGCCTTTATTTTTCCTTCCACTCTGGGGTAGCTAAACCATTATTTCCCAGCTCTCTTGAATTAAACCAATGTTCTAAAAAAGCATTTGGTGAGAAGCAAAGTCGAGAAACATTTTGTACGCCAACAAAGATCTCAGCAAGAGCCCTTTTGCCCGGCAACCCAAAAAGCAAGATCTTTTAAAGCCTGCTGGAAGAATCAGCGAGGCTTCATGTGATCCACATTCAAAAGAAGCTACGACTAACATTAGAGATCATGGAATATGGGCTAATATAGGACAGAATGCTGCCAGGTTTGCTTGTGTTCTCTTTTATTTCAACCTAGATGGGATCCTATGCCTTTAATACTGGCACAGCAGATCAATGATTTAGGAGCTGAATCTGGCCCTACCACTTTGTCCACATTTTGGAAAAAAAAAAACTTCCAACAGACAGAGGCACCAGAGAAAGAGAAAAAGTTGGCAACCTTAAGCAGAGCCTAGAGACGTTACGACTTCTGGAAACTAAGAGCTTTTGTATTAGTTCAAAAACAAACAAACAAACAAAGCAAAACGTCTCCCAGACCTTTGACCTTAGGTATGTGTCCAGTGTGCCCGTGTGTTCTTTTTACATAAATTAAGCAAAAATGCTGCAATAATGTTTTAATCCAAATAACTCATATTGTGCAAAATGGTGATGGTTTCTGCTTTGGCACCCAATTGTTTTAAAGTGTTGGAGGCACTGAGAGGTGGAGTAAGAGTTCTTTGAATCATCATCTGATTGCTCTCTGCTTACTATGTGCATGGGCTTTGATCCTGAAAAAGACACACTTTTGCACAGTTTCTGCAAATTCAGTCACCAGCAGACCAAGTTACCTTCTTTTAAATCATTTTTTTTAAAATTAGTCTTCATCTCATAGGAAAACCAGGAATCTCATGAGGCTTCAAAATTTCATGTTGTGGCGTCTTGTTAAGACGAGGCTGCCTAAATCAACACGAACAAATTTAGTGAAAATCCTTTTATCCTTCCTTGAAAATCCTCAACAGTGTTTCATTGTGCCAAGGGATACTAGGCCTTTTACCCTCATGTTCCGACAGATTCCTGAAATCGCAAATTGCTTTCTCTCTCCTCCTGCATCAGCAATCACTAGGGCCAAAAGTAAAGTGGCAGGTGACTCTGGGTTTGTGACAGTGCTGAATCCACTCCTGGTATTAGTCTGAGCTTTTTAAGGAGCTCTCCAAGGTGCTGATCATATCCCTACCTTCCCCTGTAGGTTCAGTAAATTGGATAGGTCCTATAAAGGTGAGGCTAAAACCTGCAGTGGATTCACCACTTACAACATTGGCGTCACTAGCTGCCCCTGGCTAAAGGGATACTTGGTTCTATCAGGTGAAACAGCCTAATTCACAGCAATGATACTTAACAAGGTGTGGAAGGGCAGAGAGGAACAGAAGGGCTATAACTGACATTTTTGATGTCTGTGGCCTCCAGAGTGTATTGCTTCAGTCCTTTGACAAGTGGTTGGACTACATTGGGGCTTTCATCCTTCATTGGCTTCATGTCGCCTGGTTACCTTGGCTACTTTTATGACTGAAGACCTGATGCAAAACTCAAGAAAGTAATTTGTTCCCATTATGCCAGGCAGCCCTAAAAACCACTGCCTATTTGTGGCATTCAGTCCAAAGTTAGGAATGAAGGTAAATCAGAGGGCTGCTTGCTACCTGCAAAGGTATGTTTTGAAAACTCAGGACGTTCAAAAGTAACAGAAACAATTTATTGATTACATGCGCAATGCCTTGTAGCTCCTTTTAACATTTCCTTTAAAGGCAATTTTAGACATTTTTAAGAGGCATTTCAACACAATATTTTCCAGGTTTTCATGCCATTCTCATACGTCAGCAATTCAACTCTGAGAAAACCTGGATGTCCCCTTCCCACCCCGATGATCTGGTCAGCAGGGAACAGAGGCATTGATGCCTTGGGCTTTTTCATCATCATCATCACCACCATCATAATCATTATCATTATCATCATGGACCATCAAATCAATTCTGGTTTTTCCAGGTAGAGAATACTCAGAAGTGATTTCCCATGCCCTTTTTCTGGGGGTCCCCTGGGACCCCTGTGCAGCTTGGCCAAGGCCACGCAGGCTGGCTCTTCTGGGGGAGGGTTTCCCAACCTCTCTGTTGAAACCTTACTTCAGTGCTAGCAATGACAGAGCATCTGCCACTAGGCCTGATGGCAATTGGCGAATGGAGGTGTTCCAGGACAGGGATGGTGGAACAAAGAGACTTGTCTTCCAATAAAGGAGATGGTCAAGGGGTTCAAGAGGAGCAGCTCAGACAGGGCTGCCATTACAGTCTGATCAGGAGGAAGAGTGTCTTGCCTTATTATAATCATGCGCCATCATGTCAATTCTGACTTATGATGACCCTTTTCAGGGTTTCCTAGGTAGGGAGTACTCAGGTTTCTCCTTCCCTTCTTCTGGGGTTACCCTGAGGCTACGCAGCTTGCCCATGGCTACATAGGCTGGCTCTTCTTTCAAGAGGGGCAGTGGGGAATCGAACAATCAATCTCAGCTCCACAGCCAGAGTCCCAACTCACTGAGCCACCCAGCTGGCTTTGGGCTTTCGAGAAATATCTGTTTCTTCTGAGCCCGTGCCTAAATCGCAGGCAGGAAAAGGAGATCCTACTTGCAGAAGGTGGTTCTAGGCGGTGCAGTGGAGAGCAGGCAGCTTCTCACTTTTGGCTTTTCAGCAGAAACTTTGGGAGGATCCTTCTGTTAAAGCGCTCCTCCTCTCCTTCCTTTGTCGAAACACATCTTTGTTGTTGCCATGAAGATTCAAAAAGAAAAAAAAAGTCTTTATTACAGGGATTATGATGGAAAGTAGGTTAAACTGCCATTAACAGACCAGGCTACCCTAAGGAAGGAAGCATTTATTCAGAGTCATCCAATTCATCTCCCACCGAAGTCTCCATCTGCCTCCCCCATGAAAGAAATCTGGGACTTACATTGCATGCGCCATGGCTCACATCTCAAACAGAGAAAAGACCCCATATGTTTGTTTCTTTTTTTCAGGGAAGCGGTAGACTCTCCTAGCTTCTTCTGGGAGTGAGGGGCCTGGATGCCCTACTTCTTGAGAGGATTAAAAATAAAAAGAAGACACTGTTTCCTTAGTGGCTTCATGGATCCTCGTTACCTTGGCTACTTTTGTGAATGAAGACCTGGCGTATATCTGGCCAATGGCCTTGTTGATAATTCCGACAACCAACTAAGATTAAAGAAACCTGACTGGAACCTCACATACCTTTTAGATACTTCTCCTGTTTATTAAATTTGCACATATTTGATGTGTTGTGAAGGTTATGCCCGAAAAGTCACCCTTCAATTGTGTTAAATATAGAGATAAATATGGGTTAAAACAAGAGTGATGAAGTTAAGAAATCACTTAGGCTCTTTTTAGATCTAGATATAATTGAAATCCAACTCTTAGCTGCTATATTCCCACATGTGTATGTGTCACATTGGACTGCATACTGTTTTTGGACAGATGTGTAAATCTGAACTACATCGCAGAGATCTGCAGGTTTCTGGGGGCAACCACAGGGTGGAGCAAATATCTCAGAAACATTAAAACCTGGATTAAACCTTCCTTCTAGTTTAATCCAGCATTTGAGGTGTTAAGTGTCTTTGTTTATGATAAGCCTGAAAGCAGGGTCTGTCTTGTTTGAATCCATCTATAAGCCACCCTGCATAACTTTATGACCGAACAATCACCTGTATGTGCGTTGGCTAAAGATGAACGAAGATACATGTTCAATGTGCAGTTTAATCACTTAAATGCAGCAGCACTCATTTGCCTGCGTTCTTATGCCTCTGTAACCATTTGGTACAACAAAATGAGCAGGCAAGCAAATAACATCTGTAGCCTGCCTTTAGTAACAATTACAGCATGAACCACAGAGAAAAGCAGACATGAGACATATTACCTGATAGTGCTTGACCTGCCTAATTTTGTGCCTGCTAAGCACCTGTAGCCCACGTAACGTGGAGGGGCCTTCTGCAGGCTCAGCGCTTCTGAAAATCAGCATCTGCTTTGGTTCACACATGAAAGCCACCTCGTGCCTGCTGAGCATGTAATATTTTTTTTGCCCCATCAGTGCATTTGTTCCTGCCTGCATATGCATAGGAAAAGAGTGAGGAAGCCAAGTATTTATGCAACCGAATGTCTTTTTTCAAAAGAACATGAGCGCACATGCTCTGAGATGTGATTAGGGTCACAGCTGGTTTTGTTCACGCCTGACAGAAGTCAATTCAAAGCAAAGTGCAAAAAGCAGACTTCAATCATTTTCAAACAAGGACTTTGCCACCGACTGGGGTAGACCAAGGCATTCTTCGTGAAGGAAAGCATTTCCTTGGCTTTGAGTGATGCCATGTTGGGTGTTGTCCTGTTCTAGGCAGACAGAACGCCCATGGGATGCTGATCAAGGTTTGGCAGAAGCAGTCTTGGGGAGAGGATACCTTGGAAGGGGACAGAAGGGATAGGTATTAATGAACAAGTTACAGGCAGATGGTCAAGATCAAGAACATCAGGACCATGGACAGCTCATAGGAACAGGATATGTTGCTCCAAAAGCTGAACTCAAGTGCATTTATTATTTGAAGTGCCTTATACTAGCAGAGCCAGATTTGTGAACATGGTAAGTAACTTGGGGTTTAGGGCCTCAGATTACGAGGGATCTCCTGATTAGGATGAAGATGATGGTGCAAGAAGAAGGACAAGGGCAAGACCAAGACCAAGAAGAAGAGGAGGAGGAGGATTTGGTAATGCAGAGGGGCATCTCAAAAATTGCATACCTTATATGCTTTGTACATCTTAATCCATCCCAATGTTTCCCAACATGGCACCCTCCAGATACATTCTGATTACAAATCCATCATTCTCCAACTAATCATGCTGCCTGATATGATGGGAGTTGTACTGTAACTTATCTGGAATGGAAACACAGTAGAAAGCCTGCCGGGAATTTAAAAATACAGTGTAATGGGTCCTAGAACGGTGTCTTCTCAACTTATACTGGCAAAGCAAGATAAACTGCCCACTGTGTCTCTTGGGATCAGGCTTCCTGTGATGTCTCCATGAAAGCTTCTGTTAAAATTGTTCCCAGACAAAGGATAAAGCTGGATTCATATTTTGCAGCTCTGCAATGAAGATCAAGTGCTTGTTGGACATCTCAGAAGCTTTGCGCCGATTCGGTCCGAACAATAAAAATGGGAGCAAGCTGATTTCTTACGAAGTAACCTTACAGAAGTCTCTCTCCCTCTTTCTGAAGGAGGAATGGAGTCTGGATGTTCCAATAAACCATTCCTGGAAGCAGATCTGAAGTGCCCCTGAGAGGATCAGAGAAACTGAATGCATGAATTGGGAAGGATTTGCAGAGATTTTGCAAAAATAATAATAAATAATACGCTACAGGTGTGTTTACAGGGAAACAGACCACACCACATGTGGTTGATTTCAGCCCCAGCTTGCCTTGAACATCTGGAGAGCATGGTCTCTCTCTTTCTCTCTCTCTCTCTCTCTCTCTGTCTCTCTCTCTCTCTCCCTGCTTTCTGTCTGTTCCAACATTGGCTGCCTCTCAGCTTGCAGCTGGAACACCAGGCCCTTCTGTGTGCAAGTCAAATGGTTTCTGACAAAGGTGCAATCCACACTTAAGACCAGGTGGCTGCTTCCTCTGTCTGGAGGCATCAACAGCAGCTAACCTGTGTGATATGCCCGAGCTTAAGTTGGGCATCTTTTGTGTCAATGAATTATTGAGCCGCAAATGTGTCTCTTGATTTCACTGTAACACATCTGTCTTCTCTCTTTGCTTTTAGCCCTACAGGTATCCACACACCATCCTGTCTCCCTCTGGACACACAACCATGGAGATTTCTCTGTACAAGGAGGTCTTTGTGTTTACCCATTTTTCAGTCCGAGATGCATGAGTTGGCTTCTGTCTGTGCAACATATCCAGACTTTTGGTTTACATTCAGCCACACTTCCTCCTGCATAGCCTTGTGCAATTGGGCCTGTGATTGGAACAATTGCCTTTTTTGAATGAGAGAGCTTAGCTGTGGCTTTGGGGCACTGAGGTTCAGTGCAACTAAAGAATTTCCCCTCCTTCGTCTAGATCTGGGGTTCCCAACCTTGGGTTCCTAGAAGTTCTGGGACTAAAATCCCAGAAACCTTTACCACAGGTTTTTCCTAATCTCTTCAGTCTAAGCTCTTCAGTCTAAGCTAAAATCCCAGAAACCTTTACCACGACCTGTCCTGGCCAGGATTTCTGGGAACTGCAGTCCAAGAGCATCTGGAGACCCAAGGTGGAGGATCACTGCTCTAGATGAAGCTCCTTAGCATTTGTGCAGCACTTTTACAAACACTCCCCATGAAGCCAGATTTCAGCTGAATATCAGGAGAAACTTCCTAACTGTTAGAGCAGTATGACAATGGAACCAATGACCTCAAGGGGTGCTGAATGCTCCCACACTGGAGGCATTGAAGAGAAATTTGGACCTGATTCTACGATTCAACTCCTTCGAGCCCTAGCAGGCACAGACAATGATCTGCAGGGTCAAAGAACTGGTGGCCTTGTAGATACACAGCAAAAGCAAAAACTCAAAGGGGGGCGGGAATCTTCTGAGTCTTTGCAAGCCTTGAGATGATGCAGACAAAAATGGTCTGTAGATTCAGAATCTGCTTTTGGAGGCTGGAGTGATTCCGCAGCAGACATAAGGTTCACTGTAATGGAGAACTGTCCCCTTAATGCACCCCTTTCCACGGAAACCAGATGTGCACCTCTGCAGCCATCGGCTCACACCTTTTGCTTCTCAGTTTTCTTGACTGCAACATGATACCTGCACCTGATACTGCCTGAACACTTCCAGAGGGAAGATGGGTCTGCAAAACTCAATCCTGTCAATATTGTGTGTGTTTGTTTTCATGGCAACTGTGGCTTTTCTCTGTAGGTCAGGGGGGAAAAAAGCATCGATAGATCACATCGGCTGAGCAAGATCTTTTCCCCTCCAGCAGCTGATTTCTCAAAGGAAACAGAAAGTTTAATTCATAATGGAGGAATGCTTCAAGATATTTCTCTTGTCATATCCTTGATAAGCAGTTGTTAGTGCACAAGAGAGTTTCATGCGATTAAACCGGTAAGGACACCTTTAAGCTGTATGTCTAATATATGACGCAGTTAAAAAAAAATCCTGGAGATCATCTCCAGGTGCATCTTCCTGATTTACACCCGGTGCTGCAGAGATAATTACATTTCAGCTTGATATATCTAAATGGGAGTCTGAGAAGGTTTTGAAGAATTAGTACGTTTTTTTCCTTCAAGACCCGTGATGTTCGAAGCAGCCCGTGGATCGTTATTTTGTGGCAATGAAGCAAACGGCGACATTGAGAAAAGGGTTTGGTTGGCCACGGTCCAGATGTTTTGGCGAGACCGAGAGGCTGAAGAGGCAAAGAGTTCAGAGGAGGACATTCATGATGATGAACAGAGGATGACTCAGTTCTCAGCTTTGTTTTCTTATTAGCACTGCATCCTTTTTCGTAGGAATAACCTGAGGAGCAACCAGGTCCTACATTGTATATTTTATCTTTTTGTCTTCCGTCAGGAAGCTGAAGAGTCTGTGGACAGATCTGCCCCTTCTCCCACCCTGTTACAATGTTTTGAAAGTCTGTTTAAATTCCTCTAGCTACACAGCAGAAGAGCAAGGATTCACAGAGAGGAATAGCTTCAAGTTCTCCAGAGCAGCCCATCCCCCTTTTTTTCCATCAACTGGCACTTACAGTCTCAATAGCTCACTCTGAGACATTAGTAAGGGAAAGAATAAAGGGTTTCATTACTTGCAGTTGAACAGATCAAGCAGCAAACCAACAAATGTGACCCACTGCTTTCAGTAACAAACTTTAACTGCTTTCAACAGACTTTAGAGAGGGGAAAAGACATGGAGCAGAGAGGTGGGGGCTGTCTTTGAATTTAGAGGCAGAGAAGGAACCATTGGTTAGATAGACTGATAGTCACCCCAGACCCAAACCAGAAAAGTCCATTCCTGCCAAACTACAGGCCCCATGGGAGTTTGCAATAATGCCAACACACACTTCATCTGCACAACAGCCCAGTGAGGTAGATCAGACTGACAGAGTGTGGCTGGCTGATTGATGGCGTTTGCAAGATGAAGTTCTGGGAGTCCAGAGCTATAGGGACAGTGTTGCACTGCTGATGCTCCTTTATTTGTCTTGTGTACAGCTCAGCTTCTGGAACGCACAAACGAGAC